ATTTTTTTTATCGAAGAACATTGCAATTGCTGTAATTCACGACTTCGCGAGATGATCGTTCTTGGTGTGGGGGGAGGGGCTTTTGTGATTTTTTGGGACAAACTCTTTTTTACTCTTGCGCTGTAGATTGTCAGTTCAATCGGATAAAAAAAAACTCGCCTATACCAGACTTTTGATTTTCTTGTGAGGTCGTATTATTTTCACATTTGATCCGAAAGGTCCACGCCACCCGTGTAAGAGTTGTTATCCATAATTGTGGGACGTGGTATTTCTTCCGAACCCGAGGCTTCTTCCCCAAACCCCCTTTCTTTTAACGATTTTCTACATGCCCGTTATCATATTCCGGATTGTATATCGCTGATGAAAAAAATATGAAGCCTAGCCGGTTCGTGTATCGTTAATAAAAATATAAAGCACTGTTGTCGACCTAGGATTGCGTTTTTACCAATTGTAAGTAAGACCCCGAAGTTACCGGGCGACACCTATCCTGCATTTCGACGTTGTGGGTCTTCCTCGGCGTCATGGAAAAGCTCAAAGCCTAGGAGCTGATGGGGTGGTACTAATTGTCCCTGAAACATGAATATAAAACTTTAACGTTAGATTTTAATAAGATTTTCGAAAAGAAATAATAAAAAAAAGGGTACCCACCTTCCGATTCTTCGTTAGTATCGGGTCTGGATTCCGCTTCTTAATCAGATCCATCAAAGTTGTTATTATCAAAATCACTGTCTGGCATGACATCTTCATCTCAATCTGCCATAACACATTGGTAGTATCAAATATCCGAGACTGCCTATCAGCCGTTATGTAATCACTTTGAGCGTCGTTGTGATAATGAATGCGCGACTATTGATCGGGTGTTATTTATATAAACGTAGGTTTTTTGACGCCACTTTCGCTTTTCTCCCTTTGGTATGTTATGGACCTATGAGTCACCATACTTCAAATTGCAAAATTGACCCTTTTAGCACCGACAATTTACAACTATAGACACGTAAATTCTTAGAAGAAGTATGCACACATTTTAAGTTTTGATAAAAAAAAAACTCTTTATGTCCAACCGTCGTTGAAAGAAGAGGGCAGTAATGAATTATATGAACACGAAAGCCAAAAAAGTACTACGAGTATGCAATCTTTCACAGTAGCCTAGTGGTACCACTGTCTCCGCGTGATCACCAGAAAGCGAACGCGGAACCGCCACAAAGTGCGAATTTTTTTTTTGATGCTTTCATCGCACACAAAAAACAAATCTCATAGAGCCTACAGAAATTGAATTGTAAAAAAAATAAAAGTAATAGCCTTCTAGCAAAAATACAATCTTTAACTCCTAAAAGTTTCAAAGCAATTGGTCCGTTAAATAAAAAGAAAAGCGATTTTCAAGAAAAAAAGGAATACTAACAAGAACAACATAATTTTTTGGATCAAGGCCGTACTTATATCTGTAAGCCGTTTTAAAGAATAATTCTGAAACCAAATACATTTCTCTTTTTCCCTGCTTAGGACAAAATTACTTTTGCATAATAGCAACCACAACGCAATTTGCAGCTTACAGATGCCCAAGGCGCAGTTAACCTACAAAGACTTACAAAATAATGAAAGGACGTAAATAGACAATTTCAAATTATTCAATGTTTTGAGAATTTTAGTCGGCGACTTCAATATTTTTAGGATATGGAAAAGACTTCGAGAGTCCCGACAGTTCGCCAACGCTATATAAAATCGATGTTTCGTTGATACCCACGTCAAAATCGCATTTAGTTTTTCGCTCATTCACCGCGGCAACCCGTTGTTGTGATAGTCACGTGTTAGAGGGTTAAGTTTAAAGCCCTCTAGAGCAGTGATTCCCAAAGTGGGCGATATCGCCCCCCAGTGGGCGAAAACGATACAGAGGGGGGCGAAAAAGTCTAAGGGGGCGATAGGGGGGCGATTTCGCGAAAGCTGTTTTATGTTCGGCGCACTTAATTCTGTACTCTGTGTGCATTCGCAGGCTTGAATCATGTGGGCGATATTCACACGCGAAAGGATTTCTGGTCTCGTCTTTGCAGTAAGGTAAGGTAGTTTGCGTATCCCAGTGGTCGGAAAAATACTGCCGAAGTAAAATAATCTGGCCCGGGACGATTCACTGAATGGACCTTTCCCCGACCTTTGATCGCGGAAAATTCTTTCCATACTTTACCATTTTAAAATTTTCGGTGCTTATTTTAAGAGTGGTTTCGCGAGTTGTTGCCTGTAAAATGGGGTATTTGTTTCAGACTATCATTCTAATACACACCATTTAACAATCTGTTTTTTAAAAGTACCGATAAAGAATTTTAGCCTAGTCTATCACAGCTATTTCTACACTAATTTTTGATTGCTGTATTTAAACTGAAACTCATAGAAAGACAAAGTATTCATTGACTTATTTGATTTATATTCAAATTTCCGAAAAACAACTTAATACTAACGAATATAATTCAAAAACGCGAAAATGAGGTAGTGCTCACGACCACGCCGGAAAATCTGTCTCAGTGAGAGTGTCTGAGCGCCTGCGAAATGGGGCATTGTTACGTTTTTTGCATCTTGCTGATTGGCCAATGTCACGAAGTAAACAAGGAAGTCTATGCCCGGGGAAATATCCAAACGGCGGTTTTGACGATGAAATTTTTTTATTTATAATCTAGGCTCGAGTAGTAAATTTACATTTTTTTATGTAACAGAATTTATCGTGAGGCAAGTTCAGACCAAATTCTATTATATCCTTAAAATTATATTAAACAGCTTCTCGTTTAACGAACCTACAATTCAACTATAATTAGACAATAAGAAACACGCAGAAAAGTTGATGCTGAGTGCAGGGGTTCAATAGCGCAGTAAATATTAGAATATATTGCAATGCAATAAGGTAATAAAATTCATATTCTATTCGAGGGATTCATCACTGCTTAATATTTGTAAGAGTGTATCTTCTTAAAGAATATCTTTATCAAAATTTGACAAACCATGCGATAACATTCATTTCGATGTTTGGAAGTACATATGTGTGCGAACAATTATTTTCGAAAATGAACATTACAAAGAACAAGCTAGAACTAGGATAAGTGATGCCCATTTAAGAAATCTTCCAATCTTGGCGTCGTAAAGCTATCAAGCGTGATGCAGCAACGAGACAGTGTCACATTAAATATCATTGTAATAATTTTTTAATAAGACGACTGAGTTGGCGGTTTTTGCCCGCTGTTCCGTTTTTAACTTTCAAAAAATATATGCGACCCGCAAAAGATTATCAACCCTAAATGTAAAATGGGGTGAATTTAGGGAGTTAAATGCTATAAGGCAAGAGTACACGGCGGTTTTTGAGGAGGTAGAACCCTAGATTCTTTCATTTCCGACCGCTAATATGATGAGGGCTTTTCAGCTGTGCTACTATTGCTATCAAAACAACGAAATCGCCTTTCCATCATGAAACAGGGTAATTTTGGATATTATAAAAAAACTCGCTGAAGAACACCAAGCTTATCCATCTCATTAAAAATACTATAAACTATGGTTTGTCTCGTTATTTGGTCTGTAATATATTCGTTTCAGACTTTACATTTTTTTCGCAGTGCCGGGGGGCGATGAACTTGTAAAAACTACTTTAGGGGGGCGATGGTACAAAAAGTTTGGGAACCACTGCTCTAGAGGGTTAAGTTTAAAGTTTTAACTAGTACAGAGTAATAAGGAATAAGTTGCATATACTCACGTTTAGAGGAGGGGTTCCCAAAACGCGGGCCAATTGCGTCCCGTGTAACGATTTAAAATTGCACGCCGAACTTGGGTAAAATAGTTTAACGGTTAAACTTTAATAATAAAGAAATACTAATAGATTTACCACTCTATGTTTTTACTTCTTTGCGATACTGAAATCAGACGTTTTTTAGATAAATGGCAGCGTTCTCATTTCTTTATGGAAAAGAATCAAATTTCAGAGATTTGTCTTCCTTGTCAACAAAATATACCAGTTCTGAAGGACGACTTTATGCGCCATTATGAGAAGCATAATACTTCAAATTATGATCAGTTGACGCGCATTTTTTAAAATTTAATTCATTGCTGAATTCGTACAAAACTCAAACAAATAGGTTCAAAAAAAGTCAAATGAAAGTGAATCCACGTTATTGGCCAGTTATATTGTGGCCCACAACATCGCTAAAAAGAGCGCCGTTTGTTGGAGGGGAATTTTTACGCGAATGTATGCTGCAAGTTTTGGAAGTCATTTCACCTGATATAAAAAGTAAATTTTTCAGCCTCAGTCTTTCTAACAACACAATTTTGAACTTTCACAAATCAAAACTGCGGTCCAAACTGACATATAATCACTTGAATGTCTCATTGCGAATACAATGTACTGAATCAGAGCCACGTTTTGAACATGTGATGTTGATCCAACCTTACTTACACGTATATACAAAAATACGCAATTAAATTATGTTGGCATTTCGTTTTTTATATATATATATATATATATATATATATATATATACATGAGGATGTTTTTGTGTAACAAAACAAGCCATAAGTAGCCATTTATACGAGGCTGTATGTCAGATGATCAAGTAACTTCATTAGTCACTATTAGTTGCAAATTCTTATTGAAAGTAGTGCTTGTTATTCCTCCGGTATTCTATTACCCCACTATTATAATTATAAATTTTATTACATAACAAATTGCGATGCTTGGTGTATCTAAAATCAAGCTTGCAGCCTATTTTAATACTTATTTTTCAAACTTTTTGCAGCTTGGTGCTCCCCTTTTTTGGCCCGCGAATATCCTTCTGCTTCGAATTTTGGCCCGCGGTCAATCAACTTTGGGATCCCCTGGTTCAGAGTAAATGTCTTTTAACTAAATTAGCGGGCTGTTATTCGAGCGTTGGCGAAATTGGGGTAAGATTTAACCAATTGTATATCAAGTACTCCCGCATCCGCTCCACCTCCGCTTGATTAGAACTTCTCTCAAGTAAGAAATTGATGAACCCGCATAATTTCCATCGTTTATTCTGCCAAAAAAAGCAAATTTACCGCGCAAGGTAAATGAAAACTTAAAAGTTTGTCCGACTCAAAGACAACAGTCTGATGAATTAACCGCATTCCAGATTGAAATGCATTTTACTATTTAGTATTTTGATGTATCTTGCAGAGAATTGAGCAAATATTTTATTAAGCGGTAAAAACTATTCAAACTTTTATGAAAGTGTGACAAACTGGTGTCTCATAATAAAAAGTATAACTGCACTTAATCCCGAGGAGCAGGGTTGGCACCATACAAAAGACCAAATGCTGCTAATTTCGGAAAATTGGTTACCAAAATTATGATTAAACTCAAATGTAAATATGTAAACGAGAGAAAGTGTAAATGAGATTGTATATATGCAATCAAAGCTGTCCGACTATTTTTTTCAGAATGTTAAATCGGTCGTATTTTCATCTCCGTAACTTTGAGAGAATAATATACTCCCTTCCAGGAAGACCATTCAACACCATCTGCGTAAGATTTGTGAACTCCGCCTTTGAAATAATGACCATTCAAGTTGCTTGAATGGCATTTAAAATACCACCATGCTCCTTTAAAGGATACAGCACAATTCCTTGAATATGAATCGTTGTCTTGATCCTTAGTCGTGAATCTTTGATCGTTATGACCACTAAGAGAATCTCCCGCGTCTCCGGTATATCCTCCCACAGAGAGTGTATATTTCGAGTTCCGTCCTCCAATTTTAAAATGTCTGTAAAATTAATGTCATAAGATTAGACTTTGGAATACAAGGAAGAAAATCATATAAGGTAAATGAATAATTCTTACGAATATTTTGCGTATTTCTTGTTTCCATCCCAATCTTCCAAATCAATACGAAGTTCGTAGTCATTATCACGCGTCAGATGATAGAGATTCTCCAGGCCTTGTTGAGGTTTAAAATAACGTTCATTGCATCAATTATATGAATGAAATAACAATTTTGTGATATCAATTTAAGAGGTTTTGTCAGCTTACCAAGCCAATATTCATCAGCTTTGTTCCCAAATCCATTTACATATTCATTCCAAGTTTTATAGAAGTCCGTCGAGCCGCTCGTTCGTCGTTGAAAGACCTTTTTAGAAATGTAACAAAACATTTTATAACAGTTAAAAATATTTTGTGGTAGTAAAACAACAGTAGAAACAGATAAATCATTACTAAAAGTATGTTATAAAGAGTTCAATTGTTTTCACATTAATGTACATCCTCACCATCCAACCGCCACCGTCAGTTTCAAGATCACAGAAAACTTCAAGCTTTGAGTAAGTTGGATAGATATCGAAAACACCACCGGTTTCATTCCATATTTTCGAATCATTTTTAGTAACTTTTCCGCAGTCGGAAAGAGTTAGAGGACGTAATTCTGCAATGATAATTGTAGTGTACAGAAAAATGCACAATAAATTTTGTAATATCATAAATTTTCATGCTTGGGTACATGCCACGTAAGTGGGTAGACAATTGTTTATGATGTATAATTTTACATCAGGTGAAAAACATGTATTCAATATGCGGTCAGATTTATCTTGAATACCTACCTTCAGTAATTTCGAATCAATTCTGTAAATTTTCTTTCTATCTCAGATGTATTGTTTAACATTTTTTGTTCAATATTGGCCATCTTGGTTACAAAACTAATCTCCATTTCTAAAAGAATCAACAAACAATTATAAACTTTGTTAAAGTGTCGTTTTGTCCAATGTTCATTCATAGCTGTTGTAAACTAACCGTTTGGAATTCTGGAATAAATATACAGATTTCATATAAATGCATCTCCACCAAAATTAAGAAAACTAAAATGGAATGTTTATTGACATAAAAACCGTTTTAATAATATAAAAAATGTGTACCACCAAATTTCTTTTGCATTTTCCTCCTCTATTTTTGTATAGTTAACAAACCACCTGGTGGTCCACGTGGTCCAGTTTTTACCAACTCGTCTTGCAAGAACATGGTCTGGTCGAGAAATTGAAGGTGAGATGCTACGAAACCTGCCTTGTACAATATTCATGCATTTGATAAACTTGGGAACAGAGACCCATCATCATGGCATTCGTATTTGTTGCTGAAATCAGACGAAAACATCCGTAGTGCAAATGCACTTAACCATGATGTATCGTTTGCTCCATACATAAGTCATATTGCTGAAAACTATATTATTATTATTTAGGATTTAGTTACATTTTTATAATAATCAAACTTTTTTTTCAATTTTTCTAAGTGTTAAGAAGACTGCTCTGAATGTAAAAATCACTTGCCACCCTTATCGTTCCTTGTAAAATGTACCACAGAAAATGTACTGAGAAAATTTTTGAAAATTATGCCGAATAAATTTACATCCTTATAATCTGATTAGACTTTTAAAATTGAAAATGGCATAAACTATTGGTATTTAAGTATGACTGATTAACAAAATATGCATTCTAGACGCTTAAAAGATTTCTAACGGACAAGCACTCCTATTAAAATTAAGATCGATTAATTCCACGAAGCAAAGTTTGATCACGTTTAGTCTGACGGAGAACCGTAAAAACAAAGATTTAGTTTCGATTTAGAGCCATAAGAATTTTCCCTAGCAATATCTGTGGATGCAACAAACTAACTAAAGGGCCTAACATGTGAAAAGTAAACCGATAAAGCAAAGCTTTCACATCAAAATTTTTTCTTCTGAATGGCCCAATAAATCATTTCGATAGTGCTACAAAATTTTACATGATGGTCCAAAGAAAAAAAATTTAAGTATTCTAAATATTTCAAATTTTGCACGTAAACATTCAAGTGCAGTTATGACCACTTTGTGGCGTCTGAAGGCTGCCGCTATGGCAATGGCGGCTGACTCTTGCACTGTCACAAACATACAAAAAACAATACTGTGAGACGCAGTACCACGGCCAGAGGCGGATTAAGCCCTCTTGGTGCCCTAAGCACCGAATACTTTGGTGCCCCCTCATGGTAATTTTAATAATAAAAACAATAAACACCGCTTAAAAGCAGAAGAGTGTTTTTACTAAAAAAAGGAACAAAGCGTTAGAAAAAGGGTTTGAATCTTGGGATCCCAACCCCAGTGCAATAGCTGAAAAACTCAAAAACGTTCCTCCATCAGATACAAATATACGCTAAATTGTTCGGTGAGCCGCATGGAATGTATCAGCATGACATGGTTTGGATCACCCTGGTCTACCCTTAATCAAAAAAACTCCCGACTCCGCTGACCACTAGATTGTTGAAATGCGATCGTGGAACCGACACATAGTGTAAATAATTCATTGGTCCAATTGTTGAAGAGAAAAGAAATTTTTTTAAAACAAAAAGGCAGCAACAAGGAGAATACTAGAAAAAAAAAAAAAAAAATTTAGGAAAACGGCTCATAGGCCCATTTCGTGTTTAAAAAAAATGTCAGTGTTTATTTTTAATGAAGAAGGTTAATATGATACTTGAAGACAAAAAATAAGCGAACATTTTGAAATTTGAGTCGTCCGGTGAACTCGTAATATTTTAATAAACACCGATAAACTATAAATAAATTCTGCTCCAAAATTTCTATGGTGCCCCTCTTTGCTTGGTTCCCTAAGCACGTGCTTATATTGTTTAATGGTTAATCCGGCGCTGACCACGGCAGCAAAATAGAAACCATGGCGGGTAATAAAGTATGCTGCCATAAACCAAGGCATGTGGTAATTCCGTGAAAGTATAAAAATTCATCTTCTTCATGACTATTTATAGAAGAGTCCATGTGTTATTTTTTCTATTTAAGTCGTGTTGTTTGGGTCTGGTGTCTACGCTCTGTAATTTGGAACGATAAGTTAATAAAAAAAAGTTATTTTGCTCAAATCTTGATTAACGTGCCCCTAGGGTACGCAAATGACCATGGTTTATTCGTGACAGGATCTGCCATGAAGTGGTCATAACTGTGACCTTAAATATTCGAGGTTATCGATCCTTAAAAACTCAGATTAAATTGTGCATCCACTCCGTTAAGTTGTAAATGTAAACTATGTATCTAAGAGCTTTAAATCAGGAAACATGCGTGCTTGCAATGAGGTTTTTGCATACCTTAAGATGTTTTTCAAAAGAAAACTATTCAAAAAAGTCACTTATAGACGTTGTAAAAACTAGACAAAAATTGAATTAATAGTAGGGATGGGCCGGGATTCGGATCCGGACTCGGATTCGAGTCGAATCCAGGCATTTTTTGGACTCGGATTCGATTTCGAGTCCACGTCGTTTTTACCGAGTCTATAATCAATTCTGTTTTTACTAATTTACGCCTATGTTTGTACTTTTACCCCTATAAATCTCACTACATACCTTAACTAGTTGAAATTCAAGGTTAGATATCGTCACGCTAATAATCGAATTGCGTAAGTCATTTCTGGCGGTTTTGAGTTTTTTATAAAACAGGTATTTATGTAATGCTGCGCACCTGTCTGTTAACTCAGATTTTATTTTAAGAATTCCGAAACCCATAAAAATAGAGATTTTGTATAATATGCAAATTTGTTCAATTGTTTCGTCATAATGAATTTTCACTGTTAACGCAGGACTATTGTGACGTCACAAAGGCAAAATAACCTCGGCCAAGGATTTTCGAGTTTTTGCATCTCAGATTCTAGCTTAGCGCTTATAAATTTCAATTTATACTACAATATAGGAAGGCGTGCACTTGTGATATTTACTGTCTGAGTCCAATTCACCTTGGTTGGCTTTAATATAAGGGTACATCGCTGTTTTATTCTTCATATTTAACTTTAGTCTTATTTCGGTGGATTGATGAAATATATATTTTAAACATAAAAAATAATGTAATTGAAACAGATTAGCTATTTTGGGGATTAGACTTCGTATATACTAAGAATTACATTCGTTTTTGGATTGTTTGGTTTTCAGGACTGGTACATATAGTCAAGTTGCAAAATTGCGTATGTCCCCTAATCATAGACACATTTCTGCCTAAGTCACGGTGCGTCATTATGACGTCACATGACTGCGTCATACAAATTAACTTAAATCCGGCTACGATCAAAAAATTCAACCATGGCAAATTATTGACTCTCAATGGCATAGCAATTTCATTAGGAAGTTTTTTACGTTTTTCTCAAAACTGCTAAAAATGACTTACGCAATTCGGTTATTAGCGTGACGATATGTAACAACATCTTAATAAAAACGACGACAGATATCCAGATAATATACCGCAAGGTAAAAACTATTGATAGCTTATAACAATGATGCGCCAGTCGCCTTCAAACTATCTATCGTTTTTGGTATACATGTGGTACACAATAAAATATGTGTCAGCGCAATATTTTTGAGTTTTCGATTTGCGTAAATAAATATGAAACATGCGCTCGTTCAACCCAAGAGGAAATCTCACCAATACCTCTTTTAAATCGAGTTTATTACGTGCAATCTTTTCTCTAAAAAGGGAGCAATGGAAAGCATGGAGCGTTTCAGAACGTTTACATGAACTACTAAATTGCAAGCATTGTATTGACGACGAGTGGCATCTCTCTACCATTTGCGCACGCGGCATAGTAAATTTAAGGCTAGAAATATCTGAAGTTATGGGAAAGCATTGTAGTCAAAAGCTTTTTATTTTCCTATTTGACATGTAAGAATTTCTAAATAGCCGCCCAGAATTGACGCAAGGTGGTGGGCTGGAAATCCCAGTTCACAGCCAAGGCGCACATTGACCCACGTTTACGTTTGTATTATGGCCGCCAAAAAAGACGAAAAATATATTTTTATATTGATTCAACAGCTATCTGCGGAACCATTAGGCAAAAATATGAGCTACGACGTATGTTTGTGAGCGCGCGATGCTGTAGTATGGTCGAAAACGTGTTTTTCTACTTTTACATTGTGACGTCACGGACTCGGAGGATTCGATTCGAGTCCCTGACCTATTACTCGGATTCGTCGAATCTCTGTAATGCCGGACTCGTCCCATCCCTAATTAATAGTGATACCATAGCGTGAGGTCTTCTGCTATATGTTGCCTACCCAGGTTCAGTCTGCGGTCTAATGCGATCTGCCCAGCAAATGGAGCGAACACCAATTCTTCCTATAGGCTTGTGTTATTTAACACCAATTGAGGTCAATTCAATATGTCGCAGAAGGTCTAACAAAACCCCTCTGTCATATACGCTGTTTTTGAAAAGTTCAATTATCGCTTTGGTACATACACAAATTAAGTGTTTATCGATGAATAAATTGTAGCCTATAGCGCTATAGAACTAAGGCACATCCGTTAGAAATGGAAATGCAACGGTAGACCTCGCGCTGTAGCGTGGTAGACCCCCTCTTCCTCAAGTTACGTGTCTCATAAAAATGTAAATGTTTTTATTATCGTTTATTCATTGAAGGATAGCTAGAAAAAGATTACATTTATGGTCTTCTCTCCCATAGTGCAATATAATTGTTTAAAAGTGGGCTACTGTTAGACAGACGGGGAATCCAAGAAATAGTTCAAAAGCACAAGTGCAAGTCGAATATAGAAAACCTGCATCAGCTAACTGAATTAATTGGAAGTATAGTGAAAGCTGTACGACAAAACCCATGTGATATAGCCAGGAATATCGATTCCTAGACTATCGGTGAATTTCCAAAGCACATCAATGTAAATAACTCAGCTCTTTTTGCATCTGAGACATTAGGAAATAAATCGATTGAGCTATGCCCGTCCAACCGCAAATGAGCTCTCCCAGTCAAGTAATCAGTTTTTTATATTAAAACCAACACTTTTTCCATTTTGGATAGTTTTGAGGAATCACCATTTCTTTCGTTACACATTTGCGAAATGCAATTGGGGTATCATATCTCCAATTTCCGACAAAATATTCATGTATCAGAATAGATACTAGAATATGCTCATAATTTGTACAACAACAGTTATATCGCATCGGAGTTACCTTCGGAGAGTGATAACACAAAAGAAACTTGGGTGGCAGTTTGGTATGCAATCTGTATAATGTGGTATCTGTATGTATAACGTGATCACAATCACATAAAGACATTTACATATAATTCGGTTCCTAACCATAACCTAACAAAATCATTGAAATTTCATACCAAAGTACCACCGGAACTTATGCATCCACGTACAAGCATGTATTCATTGGCCGAAGTACATATTTAGGATTCACATCGCAGATGGGAATTGCGCGTAGAAAGGTTGGAAACCACTGACCTGGATTACTCTACGTGGCCTTGGGGTTTCACACCAGAGTTTAATAATTTGCAGTAAATTGCGTTACGTAGATGTATTTTTAAAGTTATATATCTTTGCTGAAGGGGATTTTTAATCAATGTAGTAGTATTTCAGCGACAACAACACTGTGAAACGCCAGAGAATTTCCGATTTTTTTTTTAATTTCAAACATACGGGACTTTTTCCTCCACTTTCTGTTGACAGTTAATTTTCATACAAATCAGGGTGTCTGCCAGTGCTACTCAGTAAGTAGACTTACAGTCACTTATCACTAATAGTTATTTTCCGATTTTGAACGTTGTTTAAAGTATATTACCCTTGGCGCGAATATATGTTTTGGCCAGAATACTCATTATAACGATTGCAACAATACAGTTATTGCAATAATGATACGATTATAATCGACTATAATTATCTATTTGAAGCTTTCTAGATTGATTTTGAGCTTGTTTTTTCGTTGTTATTGGCGCGTCATCGGAAGCATACATAATTTGAAAAATACGGACAAGCGAAAGTCTATAGAAGTGGTCTCAAAACAATAGATATTCGGTATTGAAGTTAGCATCGCTTGAATTGTCTTACATATCGCTTATTGATCAAGCTATACTTCCAATATTTTTAAATATCGAGAAGAAACCAAAGTCCAGTCCAAAGCAACCGTAGTTTTAAGAAAACTACTTGCCTATATACATATATAGGAAATTTGTATAGATAGTCAGTAAAAACCCGCCTGGAGATATAATTTTCCCGAAAGTTTAACAAGATTATCAATTTTATTTTATTATATCTGTATTAGCATTGACAAATTCTCAGTTCAAAAGTCATTGCAAATATTCAACATAGCTTGTATGCGCAGTAACCCAGTCTGGAGGCATGTATTGTACATCTTTGCCTTATTAACTCTCTCTTGTTTATGATTCGAAATGCATAATTTGTATTTTGTTTTTCTTTATCGAATTTTTGCTCTTACATGTGTAGTTTCCAGCATATAACTTCTCAAGGAAACAAAAAGGACAGCATGGTTAGTTTATTTGCAATTCTGCTGTTTTGTCTGATTTCAGCAATAAATTCGTTGCCTGATGATGGTCTCTGTTCCCAAGTTTATCAAATGCACGAATATTGCACAAGGCAGGTTCATGGTACGTTACCGTCAAATTCGCGACCAGACCATGTTCATGCAAGACGAGTTGGTAAAGCTGGACCACGTGGACCACAAGGTGTTGTTAACTATACAAAAATAGAGAAGGAAATGCAGAGGAAATTTGACGGTAAGCTATATATCAGTAATATGGTTTGGTTTTTACACGGTTTTGCCATTGGTTGGTATCATATTTTCGGAGACACCGAATTTTGCATATTTAGTCCAAGTTCAAACTACCTTATGATTCTCGGAAATATCCCATTTATATCAAAGCGCAATTGAAAAATGGAGATAATCATTGTTTTTATCGCCACAAAGCACAAATTCGTGCAGTGGGTCCATGTGCAGCATCTCGATTACTCACCTTGCTGTGGTACAGGCTTCACTTTTGAAGCGAGTTAGGTTCTAAACAATTTGTTTGTCATATAGAAATGGAGATTCGTTTTAAAACGAAGATGATCAACATTGAAGAAAAAATGTTAAACAATACATCTGAGATAGAAAGAAAATTTTCGGAATTGATTCGAGTTGCTGAAGGTTGGTATTCAAGAATAATCGTAGCCATGCCATTACGTTTGTAAAAGACGTCTTAGCTTGAGTCAGCAAACTGAACACAGTCATACTTTTATGATCCCTTTCTCCCAATGGCTCATAAATCAATTCAACTATTGTCGTTCCATTCAATATTTGGAATTTTTTAACAACGTTTCGTTACATTCAGATAACACAACTATTTTGTTTACCACCTGGCTTTGATTCAGATATATATCAAAATTTTAGTCGATCGAACCAACAAAAGCAACAATAATTTCACACCGGGCCTCTAAACTGGCTTGGTATGGCAGTTATAATACCCGTTAAACATGATAATTGTCATTATCAAGTTAAATCTGAGTAAATTACAGAACTTCTTTCGGTAATATTAGCAAGTGTGTATGAAGGGTAGATAAAAGACAAAACGCGGGTTGTTAAGCGGTTGGTGAATATTAAAAAGGTTTGTTTGTTTTACTGATGATGTATTGTAAACTTGAATTTAAGTTGGATTTCATTCATATGATTCTCATAATTGTGCTTTGATGGACGCTGTTGTATTGTCTTTATTTTTAAACTGGCATTGTTATATTGTTGATAGTTTTTTTTTTTACTTTGATATTGAAGTCTTCAATTCTTTTAAAACAGAATTAAGACCTCTAACTTTTTCCGATTGCGGAAAAGTAACTAAAAATGATGCAAAAATATGGAATGAAACCGGTGGAGTTTTCGATATTTATCCAACTTACACAAAGCTTGAAGTTTTCTGTGATCTAACAACTGACGGTGGTGGTTGGATGGTGAGGATAAAAAAATTGTGTAAAATCTTGTAATATTTTATTTACTCATGTTCTATAACCACCAAATTGTTTGTACTAATACCAATATTCTTTATGACTATTATAAAATTTTGCTGCGTTCTTGAAAGATATTTCAACGACGGACAAGTGGCTCAACGGACTTTTACAGAACTTGGAATGAATACGTAAACGGATTTGGGAACAAAGCTGATGAATATTGGCTTGGTAATCTTTAGAAGGATGTCACAAAATAGTTATTCCATTTTTTCAATATTTGACCTATCTATAAGGCCTGAGAATCTTCATCATCTGACACGTGATAATGACTATGAACTTCGTATTGATTTGGAAGATTGGGAAGGAAACAAGAAATATGCAAAATATTCGTAGAATCATTTGATTACTTTTTTGATTTCCTTATTCTAAAGTCTAACCTAAACTATTACATTAATTTTACAGCAATTTTAAAATAGGAGGACCGAAAACGAAATATACACTTGCTGTTGCAGGATACTGGAGACGCGGGTGATTCTTTGACTGGTCAACGGTCAAAGATTTACGACCAAGGATCAAGACAATGATTCGTATTCTGAATTGTGCAGTATCTTATAAAGGGGCATGGTGGTACTCGAGCTGTCATTTAAGCAATTTGAATGGTCATTATTTCAAAGGCGGAGTCCACAAATCTTACGCAGATGGTGTTGAATGGTCTCCTTGGAAGGTACAGTATTATTCTCTCAAAATTACAGAGATGAAAATTCGACCAATATAACAATCCATAACCCCTATAACAACAAACTTTGTATTAACTTTTCGATTACTCACTACAGCAGTTTGGCATCACATAGGTAATTTTGTATAGCTTATCAGTTGGTAATCTTGAATTACTTATATATTATCATTACCACTATTAACTCTGTCGTGGCAATAAAAATATAAATTGGTTAAAACATGGACTAGATTTTTTTTTTGTTTTTTTTTTCTTTTCAATTTGAAAGCTATTCATCCCTCTGCGTTTGTTTTCAATTTGATTGTAAATCGACCACACTGAATTTATTTCATATAATATATTAAAGACAAAGGGACAATTTTTTTTTTGCAAAACTCAGCAATGGCGCGATTGCCTTACTAAGTCATTGAATTCAAATTTTTCGTCCGGTCTCCAGAGTTGACTTTAAAAAAATTATTGAAACAGAGGAGCAATGCTCAAATATATGGACACGAAAGCGTACGCAATTTCCGCAAAAATTTGTCTGATCTATCAAAAGTTTTAAATATTAAATTGCGAATTAAGTCCGGCCTGCGCAGCAATTCACATCGATACCAATAATATCTTTGTCTGACTGGTTCCATGTGACGGCAATGTTCGTAGAAAGGGCAAAATTTTAGATAAAATATACATCGACATTCACAGTAGAACTCGAAGAAATTTTAACGATATATAATAGCAACAGCCTCCTGAGCGCCTCAGCCTTCTCTTAGTAGCCTACTGAAAATTTGTAAACGATTATCAGTTCAAAGGAAAAGGCTATTTTTTCCAACAACAAATGTCATTCAAACAACTTGGCAAAAGGATAAAATATGCACATTTCGTGTCCATCTAGGATAGTGGAGTTCGGTCGTATTTGATTTTTGACCAAATATTATGGTGCCACTCTTTGCTTAGTTCCCTAAGCCCGTGCTTATATTGTTTAATGGTTAATCCGGCGCTGACCACGGCAGCAAAATAGAAACCATGGCGGGTAATAAAGTATGCTGCCATAAACCAAGGCATGTGGTAATTCCGTAAAAGTATAAAAATTCATCTTCTTTATGGCTATTTATAGAAGAGTCCATGTGTTATTTTTTCTATTCAAGTCGTGTTGTTTGGGTCTGGTGTCTACGCTCTGTAATTTGGAACGATAAGTTAATAAAAAAAGTTATTTTGCCCAAATCTTGATTAACGTGCCCCTATAGGGTACGCAAATGACCATGGTTTATTCGTGACAGGATCTGCCATGAAGTGGTCATAACTGTGACCTTAAATATTCGAGGTTATCGATCCTTAAAAGCTCAGATTAAATTGTGCATCCACTCCCGTTAAGTTGTAAATGTAAACTATGTATCTAATAGCTTTAAATCAGGAAACATGCGTGCTTGCAAGGAGGTTTTCGCATACCTTTATGAAATTTTTCAAAAGAAAACTATTCAAAACTAGACAAAAATTGAATTAATAGTGATACCATAGCGTGAGGTCTTCTGCCATATGTTGCCCACCCAGGTTCAGTCTGCGGTCTAATGCGATCTGCAAATGGAGCGAACACCAACTCTTCCTATAGGTGCTATCGATTGGGTTTCTACAAGACCAACTACTTTTCCGTTTTCTATGCTTTTGCGTCGGTGGATCCGTATGCATATAATGCAAGGATGCTGTAGCAAGAGTGAAGATAACTATCCTGAGTAATTCAATAAATAGTCTTGCTGCACACTAACACAAATATATTTCTGTAACGTTTCGTCTGACCACGGTCAAACTTCCTCAGACATACATATATCAACTAAAGCAAGAACAGCAATTGCAAGCATATTTATACAATGGGTGCCATGGCAACAAAACAATATCATAACAATGTGAGTTAACGAACTCATGTAGGTGGTGATTCATCAATTATTTAACATCAATTGAGGTCAATTCAAGATGTCGCAGAAGGTCTAACAAAACCCCTCTGTCATATACGCTGTTTTTGAAAAGTTTAATTATCGCTTTGGTACATACACAAATTAAGTGTTTATCGCTGAATAAATAGTAGCCTATAGCGCTATAGAACTAAGGCACATCCGTTAGAAATGGAAATGCAACGGTAGACCTCGCGCTGTAGCGTGGTAGACCCCTCTTCCTCAAGTTACGTGCCTCATAAAAATGTAAATGTTTTTATCATCGTTTATTTATTGAAGGATAGCTAGAAAAAGATTACATTTATAGTCTTGCTTTCCATAGTACAATATAATTGTTCAAAAGTGGGCTACTGTTAGACAGACGAAGAATCCCAGAAATAGTTCAAAAGCACAAGTGCAAGTCGAATATAGAAAACCTGCATCAGCTAACTGAATTAATTGGAAGTATAGTGAAAGCTGTACGACAAAACCCAAGTGATATAGCCAGGCATATCGATTCCTAGACTATCGGTGAATTTCCAAAGCACATCAATGTAAATAACTCAGCTCTTTTTGCATCTGAGACATTAGGAAATAAATCGATTGAGCTATGCCCGTCCAACCACAAATGAGCTCTCCCAGTCAAGTAATCAGTTTTTTATATTAAAACCAACACTTTTTTCCATTTAGGATAGTTTTGAGGAATCACCATTTCTTTCGTTACACATTTGCGAAGTGCAATGGGGGTATCATATCTCCAATTTCCGACAAAATATTCATGTATCAGAATAGATACTAGAATATGCTCATAATTTGTACAACAACAGTTATATCGCATCGGAGTTACCTTCGGAGAGTGATAACACAAAAGAAACTTGGGTGGCAGTTTGGTATGCAATCTGTATAATGTGGTATCTGTATGTATAACGTGATCACAATCACATAAAGACATTTACATATAATTCGGTTCCTAACCCTAACAAAATCATTGAAATTTCATACCAAAGTACCACCGGAACTTATGCATCCACGTACAAGCATGTATTAATTGGCCGAAGTATATATTTAGGATTCACATCGCAGATGGGAATTGCGCGTAGAAAGGTTGGAAACGACTGACCTGGATTACTCTACGTGGCCTTGGGGTTTCACACCAGAGTTTAAAAATTTGCAGTAAATTGCGTTACCATGCGGATTATTTGTCAATTGATTTTACTCGAGCTGGGAGTCAACAAACGGCGTATGTTTGTGATGTCGGCATGAAGACATATATCTATTATTAAAAGTGTTGTCGCACCATTAAAACAATTCTCTTTGAACAAATCCCTAGTACTAATCAACGAATCGGTATAAATGTATTTAAATCTTCGGATAAAGGAAAATATTAATCTTTTTAACCTAACCCTCTAGTCACATGCAAAATCTTTTTCATAGCCGAGTAGTCGTGTCATATTATTGTGCCGTGTTGTTAGCTGACTGGTGTAAACATCATAAACTGCGTGAACGACTTGTTGGGTATATTCCTATAAAACAATAGTTTTGTAGTCAACGGCTTGCTGCTGGGCACGGTATGTAGGAACTTACAATGTTCTTTGTCATGTTAGTCAGCAATGTAGTGTATTTTAATTGAGCCATATTTTTATATAATTTATTTGAGCCTTGCTCTCTTGTTACGGAATCTCTCTTTGATCCATAAAAAGGTGAACTGGATAAAATGAAAAATTGTGGGCCGATATCGTTAATAAATACTGATTACAAAATCCTAACGATGAAATTAGCAAATAGTTTTAAATACCTTTTACAAAATATAATATATATATATGAATTGCATATTTGCCATTTTACAACCGAACGTTATAAATATATTCAATGGGTGCATTGGTGCATGGGTGGTAAAGTGTACGAATTATATCAAGAAAGGCTAAAACATCATCAATTTACAACTTTACTCGAATAATATAAACCAGCACATGGACCTATTATTTTTATTCAGTTGGTAATCTTGGGGATAATACAGGGCTTGGCATTCAGTTTCCGAGATAAATAGAGCGAAGAGTTTATGTTACGTCTGTTAATCGTGAAAGCTCATAAAATTATTAGGGTGCTCGCCGCACATGAAGTTTGTGCATTCCTTCTATATGCAGTCAGAGCAAAGAGTGCGTGTTTGTATGAGCAAATTTACTGAAAGCAAGGTTACGCGCATTACTCAAAAATATAAAACAATAATCTCTGAGCAAAGTTACAGGAGGCAAATGAAGTTGAGAGAACCACTGATACTTTAAATAATCATGGCATAGAAATAAGAATAGTTATTCGTTAGGACTGCAACACGAAATAAAAACTTCATCACAAAACTTAGATTTTGAAATGTTTGTTTGTTGAATGCAAAATTTATCTGCACGAATGTAAAATTCGAATTATTCGTTTGCTGAATATGAAAATATTTACAAAACTTCAAATTCTAACACATTGTTTACCGAATATGAGATATAATCCTCACAGCTATTTGCAAATTTACAAAATGTTTCGTTTCTGCACTAGTTTCAGTCCTATACATCGTTCAAAAGAATATGAGACAGAATAAGCATATGGCTGGCCTTGA